GGGGAAGTATCCTCGCTCAAAAACAAGAACAAATGTATAGCTATATATATATATAATAGAGATATAGTATAGGTATATGACACACCTAATTGTACCGGGGAAACAATCCAACAGGGGATTGTTTGACTAGCTCACACTTATCCGGCCCTCAAACGTCCATGTGGCTAGGGATGAGTCGTCCAACTGGGGGACTGATACTCTAACCCAGCACGTACGGACGAAGAATCAAGACCCGTACGCCTGGAACCGTCCTACGCGCGCAGACTACCCAATCAAGGGTCTACGGTCAACATCCCGTCAAGGATGCCCCGGCTACTAACATTTCCAAATATTTCACATTTACAAAATCAATTTCCAATCCAGGGGAGGTACACAGGATAGTGCATAAAGCACTCCAAACTGACTTTCTACTCTCGCATCACTCCATGCCTCAAAACCATTTCTCAAGTACCCCCCACAAATATTCAACAAATATAATACTTTCCCAAAATAGCATATACATAAAATTCAAGATACTTGAATATATCCAAAACCCAAATATATCCCAAATACTTTAACAAAATAATCGTTCCACTGTAAGTATTAGGTAACCTTCCATAAACCTTTAAATCCTTAAGCATAAAACTTTCATTATAAAAATCATGCAATTTATTGAAAACAAAGTCCACTCACAAGTAGTCCCAAGCTGCGTGACCCTGAGAGGGTCCTGCCTGCTGTGAAGGCGGAGTCGGATCACCTATTTCAAAATAGGAACACGATAATAAAAATCCAACTCTTCAAAAATAAGACTTTAAAGAAAAATCCTAATTTCCCGGGTTTCCCTTAAGTACTAGGAACGAGACGTCCCTAAGGTCCAAACTCAGGGTTTCAAGCGCTGGAAAAGTCTCGGAAGACACCCGGTCAACCGGACGGTCAAAACTTTAAAATAATGAATCGGAACATCCGGGGCTCCGATTCATGATCCGCGAAATCCTATACGATCCTAGGAATACCAGGAACAACATACGTGAAATTGGGTTTGATCCAACGGTCCCAACACATCAAACCCGAAAATCACATATTAGGTAAAATT